AGATAGCAGAGAGATGGAGGGATAGATGAATGGATACAGGGATGGATGGATGGATAGAGGGATGGATAGATGGAGGTGTGGATAGATAGAGGGATGGAGATATATGGATGGATGGAAGGGTGGAGGGATTGAGGGATGGATAGATACAGGGATGGATGGAGGGATAGAGGGATGGATAGATAGAGGAATAATGGATAGATAGATAGATAGATAGATAGATAGATAGATAGATGATACTGGTAGATGGATGGATAAATGGATGGATAGCTTGGAGAGAGAGAGAGAGAAGGAAGAAGGGAGAGAGAAGGATGGAGGGGGAGAGAGAAAGATGGAGGGAGCAAGAGAGCGCTTTCCCATTGACTTTCAGAAGAACGCAAAATGGGATAATATGACTCGGGGAGCGGTCATAAATACAAGCCAGTTGCCAAGCATCTGAATTTTGATCAGGTGATCATGGGAAGCTGCAATGACCGTAAGCATGAAAAAAAAAAGTCCCGTCACTTTTTTCAGTGCTCTGTGCTTCGAACAGTCACTACACGAATGGCTGTAAGTCGGGGACTGCCTATATTTAATCGCCGCAATTTCTGCCCTGCAGAAATAGAAGTTAGTAAGTTCGAAATATTTCCATTCATCCTCGTGTGTTTCCCAGCTAGTGGTGAGTTACAAGCCGGACCTTCCCCAGTCAGAGACAGTGTGATAGATCAGGGGTCACTAATCTTGGCAACTTTAAGATTTGTGGACTTCAACTCCCAGAGTTCCTCAGCCACAAGTCTTAAAGTTGCCAAGGTTGGAGACCCCTGTGATAGACAATGACACCGTCCATCATCTCCAGGCAGAGCGCTCAGTGGCCATGCCTTGTGGCCATGGGAGGAATTTTATTTATTTATGCATTAAAACATTTCTATAGCTGCCTGTCTTATCACTAACTCAAGAATTAAAACATGTTGATGGCTCTGGAGTGGATTCTCTCCCCCCCCCCCCCCAAATAATCAAACTGGACAGTTTTAGTGCTTGAAAGTTCATTAATCCTTTTTCTCTTCTTCCTTTCAGAGAGAAGGCCGGCATGGTAATTCCAGAAGAAAGAGAAGGGCGAGACGAAACCAACTTGGATTTAGCCAGAGATTCCACGGCAGCCACTGTTTCGATCGATACTCGCAAAGCAGGTCTGTTTTGGGCTCTCTGCCACTCTTTATAAGACCCTGTCTCAGTCTCTGTCCTTTTTTGGTGGGGTGGGGGGCTCTTCCAGGCAACTTCTCATGTGCCGGCAGAAATGCCTCTGCGTTGCCACTTCTGGCATACGTGCCATCAGTTTGCCATCACGGGTGCTTGGGCAAGGGGGTTGGACTAGATAACCTACAAGGTCCCTTCCATTCTGATTACCTGTTATCTCACTACCTACAGTTTGGCTTTTCATCTTTGGAGTATCTTCGTCCTTAACTCTTTCCATCCTGACTCCTAAGCTAGGATGCCTTAGGATGCAAGGCTAATTCACCGCCGCTTCCCATCCTGCCACGAGGCAATCCGTTGGCACCCAGGCTAGGGCTTGGCTCCCTGTTCGTTCATCAGGGTGAAATGTCCTCACGGTCTCACGCTGCTTCCCTTAGGTGGCCAACACCAGAAGGTGGTGCAGCACAGCATCGTGGTGGACATGCGTGAATTCCGCAGCGAGCTTCCCTCCTTGATTCATCGGCGGGGCATCGACATCGAGCCCGTGACGTTAGAAGTCGGGGACTACATCCTCACCCCGGACATCTGCGTGGAGCGCAAGAGCACCAGCGACCTCATCGGCTCCCTCAACAGCGGCAGGCTGTACTCTCAGTGTGTCTCCATGTCTCGCTATTATAAACGGCCTGTTCTGCTTATTGAGTTCGATGCCAGCAAACCTTTTTCTCTCACCCCCCGGGCTTCCCTCCACCAAGAGATCTCCAGCAACGACGTGATCTCCAAGCTCGCCCTGCTGACCCTTCACTTCCCACGCCTCCGGCTCCTGTGGTGCCCATCTCCGCACGCCACGGCCGAGGTCTTCGAAGAGCTGAAGCAGAACAGGCCTCAGCCTGACGCCACGGCAGCTTTGGCCATCACGGCCGATTCCGATACCCTCCCAGAACGGGACAGGTACAACCCCGGCCCTCAAGACTTCCTGCTCAAAATGCCTGGGATCAATTCCAAAAACTGCCAAGCCGTCATGAATCACGTCGAGAGCATCGCGGAACTGACCGCTCTTTCCCAGGAGAAGTTGGCCGAACTTCTGGGCAACGCTGCCAATGCCAAGCAGCTCCACGAGTTCATCCATCTGCCGTTGACGGAGGCCGTTTCTCAAGGGAAAACAAAGAGGTGACTGGTGCGTCGCGATGAGGATGGGAACGTCGGAGTAAGCTGTGCATACCGTCTCTTTAAGTTGGTCCCGTTTTACAGGGGAGGCAAAGGTATTTGGCTGTCCAGGTGTCCTTTTCTGATCTGCCAAACATGCCCAGATATCACCAAGTTCCTTCACCAGGTTTTTCTTGGGTACGCCAAGCTGTCTACCCCCAAGTTTATTTTTAAGATGAGGAGCTGTGATTTGGCCACAGGCTTTTGCAGAAGGTGGGTTCTGAATGGTGCCTGGTTCCAGGAAGCATTGGATAAAGGGGCCTACAGGTGTGTGTGTGTATGAAAATCTGCAAGGTATGTTGTCTGCCATTTTGCAAATTTTAACACGCCTCTCTTCCAGATGCCACGTTGGACATTTTTTCCCCTGGTTCCTTTACAAGCTTTAAAGCAATGGTGTACAATCATGGCCACTGTATGACCTGTGGACATCAACTCCCAGAATTCCTGATCCATGGACATCAACTCCCAGAATTCCTGATCCATGGACATCAACTCCCAGAATTCCTGACTGGTGGACATCAATTCCCAGAATTCCTGACTGGTGGACATCAATTCCCAGAATTCCTGACCTATGTTCATCAATTCCCAGAATTCCTGACCTATGTTCATCAATTCCCAGAATTCCTGACCTATGTTCATCAATTCCCAGAATTCTGGGAGTTGAAGTCTACAGGTCGTAAAGTAGCCATCGTTGCATACTCCTGTTTTAGAGGAAGTGTCCTAAAACGAGTGGGTAATTTTGGGCCTAATATCTATAGTAAATTCATTCCTAATCTCTCTCTCTCTCTCTCTTTTTTTGTTGTCAGACTTTTTGGTCACGCTTCACTTTTTTCAGTTTTTTTCTCCCCTTGCTTAACTTTGGAAGTTACATAACACGGAACAGCCCTAGGATTACTGTTAAAAGAAATAGCTGTGTTTCGCAGTCCACATTTGTTTGAAAAGAGGTGGGAGGAGGATCTATAAGTAGATTTCAGCTCCTGCTCCTTTTGGGGATTCATCCAAGTTTGTTTCTTTTTTAACATAAATGTGCATTTTATAAATATTGACTTAAAGGACTTCGAAGTCGGTCAAAACCTAATGGCTACCCAGGATATCACAAGTGCCCTTTATTAGTTAAAACAGCTCTGACAGAAGTAGGTTTCATTTTTGTTTAATTGATGTTTTGGATAAAAAAAAAACAGGCAAATTGCAAATATTTTGGTCTTTTTATGCATTGCTACTGATTTGGATTGCCTATAATCTCTTCATGGCTGCGGGCAGCTATTGTGAGCCTCCAGTGTATAACAGTGCTTTAAAAAAATATTGAATCAATTACGCAAATTGATCCAAAGTTTTAATCCATGAAATACAGCATAGCCTTATTGATCAGATTTTTTTTAATACTATTCCATTCCATATTCCTGTTTATAGAAACCATAAAGGGAAATTTTCTATCTTAGAAAAGGTATTTTATGAGCTGTCATGCAAGAGAAAGTAAGTGTATTTTAAGATGGTGCCTGGACTTATTTATGAATTTAATACTGTGTTGCCTTTCTTTGCACTGCAACTATTTTTATTCCAGGCAAATGTATGCAGATTTATTTTAATTTCACATGTATGCCATGAAAAGTTGAGGCTCTAATTCTTGATCTTTACAGGATCTTAGCATACTTATCAACTTCTTATCATGTCTGCTAGCCAAATATAAGAATTCTAATTCATGCTTTCCATTTATGTTTAATCAGCTTGAGATGGTAAAACAGATGAATTTCCGAGAGGAGAGAAATTGCTGGCAGGAATTGCTTGGGGGAGTAGATCCAAATGGATTCCCCTGAATGCATTGCTAAAAATGAATTCAGTTATTTGTGTGATGTATACAGATATGTCTACGCCATGTTTCTCAACCATGGCATTGTTAAGAATTCTGAGAGTTGAACTCCATCCATCTTAAAGCTGCCATCAAAGTTGAGAAACAGCGTTAAGGTATGACTAGACATAATTACTCAAATTGAAATAGAAAAATAAGTCCTGGTCATCATTAAGGGGAGAAGTTTTTTTATACATGTCCAGATAATTGCCCAGACTCCTTGCTAATAGGGAGTATCAGGAGAGATCGAGATCCTGCTCACCCTTTTAAAGTTATTTATCTATAAATCGGATATGAGCAACACAGCCTTTAAACAAAGAATTCTTTTAGACTGAAAGAGCTTTGTCTTTTTATTGCACTTCAGGTAGAAATGGCCTTCTATAAAATAGGCACAATGATTTCCCTCATTTTTCCTACTACCCAACCTCTCTGTGGAGGCAGAAGTACTATGCCGGTCATTTTGTGGTGGTTTTTTTTTTTTTTTTTGAGGGTGAAAGGGGATGGGTTTTCTTTGTAAGTGGGGGGGGGGGGGGGGGGGGACTGTAAATAAATAAAAATAAACAAGAGTGGCCATACTTCTTTGTTATTAATTAGACAGTGCAGTATGTAAAGGGACTAAAAATTGCCCATGAGCCCAATCAATGTGTGTTTTTAATCTGGATGATAAGGCAGATGGAAGATTTTATTAGCGAATATTTCACTCTGCGGTGGGAGGCGTTTGGTTTTTTTTTTTGTAGAAATCACAAAAATGCAAATCTGGGGTTCAAGTATTAGTCTGCTGTGGATAGGATGAGTCATTACTAAAAGAATTTGGATTTTTATATGATTCTGTAATGAATTGGGATATCTACCATTTTCAAGTGTCTGACAAATATTAGAATCTTTGTGATTAAAACTGTTTTTGTACTTGCATTAAAAGAAATTTCACTATCGGAAAGAAGTTAATTTCTGCTCCATTTAGAAATAACTCGAGGAGGTAAACATACCTCCTTCCTTCCTCCTATTTTCTCCACAACAACAACCATGTGAGGTAGGTTGAATGAAAGAGATGGACTGGCCCAAAGTCACCCCAATTGGCCTTTTATGGGTCTGGAACTCCCAGGTTTCTAGTCTGATGCTTTTATCACCAAATATTAGCCTGATTAAAACCCATCTTCCAAAGGGCATTCTCAGGCCATACATTTGAATTGAAATTCTTCGATTTGTATGCAGATTTGTATCCTATCCTGACCAGAAATCTGTTGGTGAGTATTAAGCCTTACAAAGCCAACATGGACTATGTATTCATAGACGAGCTAAGTTTGTCAGCAGGGAAACCTGAGAATCTGCAGAAGTATAAACAATACATTAGGTTAAAAATTCCAAGATGTTTCAAGTAGTGGATTCTGGAACAGTCAAATGAGCATTAAGCATGTTTATCCCTGACAGATTACTAAATAGATGACACGACTAAGGAATCTTTATGTAACACTGAGCATTAGATCCACCATGCCTGCTCCTATTTGTGGGTACACCCTGAAGAAATTTGCGGGCTGTACAAAATCTGCAGGAAGAACCTGAAAGGAAAAATGTATGGCTGATATCTATGTTATTTTAAGCCTAAGCCTAACTCTTCTTTTGGCAAAGAGTCAGTTAATGTGGTGTCAATCACGTATCTTTCAAAAACCGACAGGAGGAAAATGTGCCCCGTTTGGTGATTATCGATGACTCTGAGATCCTCTTAAAAATTACCTCATTATTTATTCTCCAAATCAAACAAACCGTTTCTATATTTAAAGCGGAGTCGCCTGAGCTAAAGTTTCCAGGCGTCATTCTCCCCATAGAAGCAGGTTTTGTCTCATATTACCAACACACAAAGGATCCTGGCTTTTGTAGAATCTCTGTTGTCAGGCTAGGGCAATCCTCTTGGTGACATTTGGGAGGAAGCCCCTGTGGGGTGACGTAGCCTAAAAAAACTTTCACTGGTTTGGCTTCAATGATTGATGTGTGCAGGCCATTAATCTAAATCCCAGGAACTCTAGCACGGTTTAGCTTAAGTTGCATGGGTTGGCCAGCCCCCAAAAAGGGAAGTGCAGCTGGCCTCACCCGCTTTCCTTTGCTTTGAAGAAATTGGGCGTTGGAGCCTTTTGTGGCATGAAGATAAAATGGGGCTGCTTCAGGTTTATCTCGAATCAGTTCTCTGGAACAAAAGGTAACCTCCATGGTGGTTAAAAGTTCTGTTTGGCAGGAGAAGAAAGGAAATTGGAATACATCCTAACCCTGTTTTTTCCTTCAATAATCAATGACACGTTTTCACTTTTCTAGAGCTAGGTCAATAAATTGCTTCCAGATCTCCCTGCCTTGTATATTTTAGTTCATCTGTTTGATTTATACCCCAATGTTTCATTCAGGAGCTCAAGGAGGTATACATAGTACATTTTTATTTGCAACAGCATACAGGGGTGTTTGCATTGGCAGAGTGACCAGTTCAGTGTCACTGTGGGAGTTTCTGTAGCTGACAGTGGATCCCTGATCCTTTCTGAGGACATCCTTAGAAAGAGATCAGGAGCTTTCTCTACAGTGGCTTCGCTCTGCAAAATGAAGAAGGTTCTTTCTCAATTCATATTATTCCAGAGGGCAGTTAAAATACTACCAATATTAAGAGAACTCAGAATTAGTTTTATTACTATGCCCTAGTGACTGGAATGTTATCTGGCAAGCTTTAAGACGAGTCATCAACTAACTCTCTGCTCATTCAATTATAACTGATTGCTATTCTGTTATTTATTTATCAAATTTATTTCCCACCTATCCCATGCTTCAGGCGACTGAGTGGTTATGGTTTATTGTATTAATTCCTGAGTCACGTAGAGTTTCTAACTGAAGTGCCAGAAACATTTTATAAGTTAAAAAAATAATAATCACCAGACTAGCTTTTTACCAAGAGATTTTTACCAAGAGATTTGGCCACTCTCCAGCCACAAAAGGAGCTTTCAAAATGTGGCATCAGTTGCTCAATTATAAACTGTCAGCTTTTTTTCTCAAAATTCTGCTCAAATCTCACTTTTTGTAAAAGGCTCCAAGTGTCACCTTCCTTTCTAACACCTGGTGTGACACTTGTCCTTGTTTTGTTCCCAAAGGGACAAACATTTGAGTGTGATCTCTGGTTACAACCACTCAAAACCTAATCTTGTTATCTATTACAACATTCCTTTTACGCCCTGCTCCTAAAAAGATGATGTTATCAGGTAGGTAGTTAGAACTTGCAGAGTACAGCCTGAGGCGGAAGCAAAATTTCTTAGGAAGTTACTGGAGAAGCAGGCAGTTGGTTTTAAACACTTATTTTCTTCCTGGGTCAGATGTGCTTATCTCATAATGCCTACACTTTATATAATAGAAGAGCTTTGGCACTCAGATGCCTCTTCAAATTCTTTAATCCTCTGGTCTTTTACAGATTAAAGTTTGTTGTTTTTTTACTCAGTCTGGTACAAGCACCTTCCTTCAATTCCTACTTTTAAGTTATCTTTTTTCAGTGACTGCTCAGCTGTGTCCTTATGAAAGGAAACAGTAGTTTCTGAGAGAGGAGGGAGAAAGAGAAAGGCATGGTAGCAGTAAGTACAACTGAGGATAACACTAGCGGATCTAATTTATTGGGCTTTCTGTTCATAAGAGTAAATTATTCCTCTGATCTCTGCTGACTTACTTG